CAGCAGTCTCTTGGCTTCTGACAGCACACATGCTCCTAGTATATACTATAGGAGTCGTTGTAACTTAAACTGCGGGTATTTTTCATGATCTTCCCTCCCCTACTAAGACTACTACTAAGACTACTATTACTAAGGCTAAGACTACTACTAAGACTACTACTACTAAGACTAAGACTACTACTAAGACTACTGCTAAGACAACTACTAAGACTAAGACTACTACTAAGACTACTAAGACTACTAAGACTACTACTACTAAGACTACTACTACTAAGACTAAGACTACTACTAAGACTAAGACTACTACTAAGACTACTAAGACTACTACTACTAAGACTACTACTACTAAGACTAAGACTACTGCTAAGACAACTACTAAGACTAAGACTACTAAGACTAAGACTACTAAGACTAAGACTACTAAGACTAAGACTACTACTAAGACTAAAACTACTAAGACTAAGACTAAGACTACTACTACTAAGACTACTACTACTAAGACTAAGACTACTAAGACTAGGACTACTGCTAAGACAACTACTAAGACTAAGACTAAGACTAAGACTAAGACTACTACTACTAAGACTAAGACTACTACTAAGACTAAGACTACTAAGACTAAAACTACTAAGACTAAGACTACTACTAAGACTAAGACTACTACTAAGACTAAGACTACTACTAAGACTAAGACTACTACTAAGACTACTACTAAGACTACTAAGACTACTACAAAGACTACTAAGACCACTACTACTAGAAAGCAAAAGCAGAGCAATCCCCAATCAGCAAAGCATCAGCAGTCTCTTGGCTTACTGACAGCACACATGCTCCTAGTATATACTATAGTAGGAGTCGTTGTAACTTANACTGCGGGTATTTTTCATGATCTTCCCTCCCTGGAGTGCATTTCTGGACTGGCGAGAATTTTGAAAAAAATTGTTTCACGAATCCTATCCCTGGAGCGATTTATTGTATGTGCTGCTACTACTACGAGTAGTAGTATTTAGTAGTACTGGTACTACTACTACCCTATAATAATAAATAGTAGTAAGAGGTATATTATAGTGAGCGGTAGCAATGATTCTTCCATGCCAGAGTTGAACTG